CCCCACACCCACACCCTTTGCGTCTGGAGTTCATCCCTCTGTTACAGTCACATATGGTTATTTCCCACAAAATCCACAGGATTATTCAACTGAACGGATATTTACATCACACAGTTTCAACTCCGTTCGTGTTGGAAAAAAAACTATTCGAAAAGATCTGCGATTATATTGTCCAGAGCATTATTTACCGCTTCGTTTCTCTTTGCTTCTCTAGCTGCTGCTCTTGTATTCGGTGCTTGCATTTGTTCTTCACGTCGAGCCTTTTGTTGTGCGGCTTGTCCAGCGCTTTGTCTTGCTCGTACCCCGGGTAATCTATCAAACAGGTCTATCAATAAATTGGCCACTTGTCGAGCACGTGCATCTCTTTGGCATTTGCGACGTCTTCTAGTATTGTGTTGATAACGAATAATCTCAAACAGTCGTAAAACAATGGCATGCTGACGATATACTGTGCTCATACTTTCCATATGATGATATAAATCACTCAATCCAGTAGCAACGATTTTTTTCTTGATGCGCCACTCACCATTCTCTTGCTTGAATACAGAACGAAAAAGCGCATTTGCCTTGGAATCATTCTACATGAAAAAGAATTCGTTAGAGATCGGTACTTTTAGGAAAATTCATTTTCAGAAGTGCTTACCAAGATGCAGTCCAGATGTTTAAATAAGTCATATGCGAAATTTGATGTACCATCCTCATTTATCTGTGCCATAGTTTTATCACGAACAATGGGCAGAAGACGTAGTAACAGTTTATTGAAATCATCCCATTCTTCAGTAAGATCGTCCAACTTCGGCTGATACCGATCAAACTGTCGGTAACCATAACACGTTCGATATGGGATTTCGCCAAAGCCGGCACGAAGGTAAGATAAAATACGATAGTATTCTTGGTAACCAAGCCGAGCAATACATAACTTATAGTGTATCAAAGGAGATGTGCCCGTTAGAGCAGGTTGTGTATTGTGTGAGAACTTAATGGATTGTTTATCTAACTTGGAGGCAGCGTCCTGAATGCATCCTTCGATAAATTGAATGTATGTATGCATTATTGGTAAAGAGCTATGCCATATATTACTTGCTTTTGTAAAATAGTTTAATGCTTGTTCATAATCATGTTTTTTATTATACATTGCTCCCATGTTTGCATATGTTTTACCGAGTTTAGGATGGTTATCTCGAAGAAGTTCTTCATCAATTTTAAGCGCTTTATCAAAGTACTCTCGTGCTAGAGAATATTCATTTTTATCTGTATAGATATTAGCTATTCGCTGATAAATTGATGATATTTGGGCATCGGTTTGGCGAGAAGTAGTGTCAAACGGAAGGTCAAGTGCTTTTTGATGGTAGAAAAGAGCTTGGTCATACTCATATTTACGCCAGTAAATTGTACCAATTGCTATGTAAGATTTAACGATAGCTTGATAACCAGCATTGGAGTTTTTCAGCAGTTTTAATTCGCTCTGATAATTAACTATGGCTTCATCATAATTTCCAAGTTCAGTATCAATCGCACCGAGTGCATTATAACATTGAGCTGCGTCCTTATCATTCGTCGACGAGTCGTTGATTAATTTTGTGAACGATATTCTTGCTTTATCATATTCACCTTTCCAATACAACGAATAGCCTGAGGAAACATGTTCGTTTACTGTATCTTTATTCGTTGTAGAAGATGGTGGAAGAGTTTCGAGATTGCGAAGTTCTGACATTTTTATGTATGTTATTTCTCTACAAAAAGATACAAATTCTGCTGCACTACATTAAAAATATAAGAAAAAGAAAGCATGATCATATACTTTGTCCTATTCACAAAAAAAGGAAAAAGGGGAAACATAGAGTCGTTCTCAAACCATTTGGATTTCACATAGTTATAAAACAACTTAGCACATTCTTGCCTCATAATAACTTTTGTGGAACTCACACATGTTTTCGAAGAAAATATTGAGTGTAAGTTGCAAGTCGAAGTTTTGCGGATTCCATCCCATCTCTCCCTCATTACAGACCTTAGTAATCAGCATAACCCGCTAGTCATTACAGGCAACCCTCACCATTACAGACAGCTCGTCACTTAAAAACATTCGCCGTCGCGTACAAGAGGTGTCAGATTCTCTATCCTGAGTTCAATAGCAACGAAAAGTATCGCACTGCATGAACGAAAAGACTTCATCTGCTCTGGAACATTCCAAAGTCTTTATCGAAATTTGTATGGCTAGAATGCTATTGTCCATGTTTTCAATAGTGCAGTTTCTCATTTTTGCGCAAAAGTTTGTTTTCAGTATGTCAAGAATAATAGGTAGTAATACATTGATTTGCTTCAGTCTTCATATGATCATCATAAAAAGAATGATTTAATCAAGTTGTTACTTTGAAATAATTAATGTCAGGATTTCTAAGTTGATCGAAATATGTGATAGTTCATTGATACTAACTGCAAATATGATGTATATATTTCCAGATCGATGATTCCAGTCAACGGATCCAACCGGAACCCACGGGAACCGACCGGAAAAACACTGGAACAGGAGGGCAGTATTCCGGCCAGAAAGTCATCGTACCGGAACCCAGTCAATTCCAAAGCTTTTTCGTTCACCGGAAAACACCGGAAATTGCATCGTATCCATCACTAGGCATGCACCAAATCCAAATCCAATCAAACCCAAATCCAATTCTTTGTTTGGGTTTGACCGGGTTTGACTAGATTTGGGTTTGGGTTTGACTGGATTTGACTTGGATTTGGATTTGGATTTGACTGGGTTTGACTTAGATTTGGGTTTGGATTTGACTGGATTTGGGTTTGACTTGGATTTGACTATATATACCTCCTACAAAGGCTGCAGTTTTTTGGTAACAAAATTCGCCAAAACCGGTCAAATCTTCGTCTTCGTTAGGTGCAGTTTTCTTTGCTCTATCCAATGATGACGTCAGATTCCATGTAATCTTCCATAAAGTGCCAAGGTTTGGCAGATTTTTATGCAAATTCTTGTTTTTTATTCACGTTTTTGATCAAATCCTGTCAAACCTTGGCACTTTTTGAAAGATTAGATGAAATCTGGCACCACCATTGGATAGAGCGAAGAAAACTGCATATAACGAAGACGAAAATTTGACCGGTTTTGGCGAATTTTGTTACCGAAAAACTGCAGCCTTTGTAGGAGGTATATATAGTCAAATCCAAGTCAAACCCAAATCCAGTCAAACCCAAATCCAGTCAAACCCAAACCCAGTGAAATCCAAACCCAAATCCAAGTCAAACCCAGTCAAATCCAAATCCAAATCCAAGTCAAATCCAGTCAAACCCAAATCTATATCTAGTCAAACTCTGTCAAACCCAGGATTTGGGTTCGACTAGATTTGGATTTGGTGCACCCCTATCCATCACGGAACACACCGGAAACGCACCGTATCTGACTGTCAACAAAAGCCATTACCTTATCCAAAAAGGATCTTTTCATAATCTCATTTATTATATTTCATGTGTATCCTTAAAATACCTGCAAAATACGGCATATTCCCGAACGCATGATAAAAAATTCTTTTCTGTCAAAGTAGGCCTAGAACCAACCACAAATACCCTGATAATAATGTAGAGTCTCAAAAACATCTTTAACTAGGATTTTTCCTAAAGCACCTTCACAGTCTCAAAACTACCTTATCAATACGCTACAGCCTCAAAAAGATCTTTAAAGATATTTTTCATATAAATTCCTCCAACCGTCTCCAAATCGCCTTACGAATAAGACCGTCTTCAAAAGATTTTTCAAGACCTTCACTCACCAGAAGACTTTTCACAGTCCGAAAAATACCTTAACAACAATCAGAAGTAACAAAAAGATCTTTAAAGATATTTCTTCATAAAAAAAAATTGAATATTCCTGAAACAGCCTTCCCAACATGCTACAGTCTCAAAAAGATCTTTTTTAATTAACTTCAATTAAACCGTCTCAAAATCACCTTACCAACAAGGTAAAGTCACAAAAAGATCTTTAAATATCTTTCCATTGAAATCCATTATGCAGTCTCAAAGTGACCTTTTCAACAAGGTAGAATCTCACAACGATCTTTAAAGAGCTTTCCACTAAAATCCATTAAGCAGTCTCAACGCTACTTTTCCAACATAGTAGAATCTCCAAAAGATCTTTAAAGATCTTTTCTAATTAACTTTAATCCAACAGTCTCAAAATTACCTTATCGATAAGGTAGAGTCTCAAAAGGATCTTTAAAGATATTTTCACTATAATCCATTAAGCAATCTCAAAGTTACCTAACCAACAAGGTAGAATCTCAAAAAGATCCTTAAAGATCTTTTCTACTCAACTTTAATTCAACAGTCTCGAAATTACCTTACCGATAAGGTAGAGTCTCAAAAAGATCTTTGAAGATCTTTCCTAATCAGCTTTCATCCAACAGTCTCAAAATTACCTTACCAATAAGGCAGAATGTCACAAAGATCTTTAAAGATCTTTTCTAATTCACTTTAATCCAACAGTCTCAAAACTACTTTGCTAACTAGCTAGAGTCTCAAAAAAATATTTTTAAAGATCTTTTCTAATTAATATCAATTGAACAGCCTCAAAATTGCCTTATCAACAAGGTACAGTCGCAAAATTACCTTACAAACAAGGGATAATCTCAAAATTACCTTAGCAAGAAGGTATAGTCTCGAAATTACCTTAGCAACAACGTACAGTCTCTAAATAACCTACCATAAGGTACAGTGTCGAAATTACCTTAACAACAAGGTATAGTTTTTAAATTACCTTAGCAAGAAGGTATAGTCTCGAAATTACCTTACCAACAAGGTACAGTCTCTAAATTACCCTAACAACAAGGTATAGTGTCAAAAAGATCTTTTTAAAGATCTTTTCAAATTAATATCAATTGAACGGTCTCAAAATACCTTACCAACAGGGTAGAAGCTCAAAATTACCTACACAACAACGTACAGTCTCAAAATTATCTTGCGAACAAGGTATAGTCTCTAAATTACCGTAGCAACGAGGTACAGTCTCTAAAGTACCTTACCAATAAGATACAGTCTCTAAATTACCTTAAGAACAAGGTACAGTCTCAAAATTACATTGCCAACAAGGTAGAAGCTCAAAAAATATCTTTTTAAAGATCTTTTTTTAATTAATATGAATAGAACTGTCTCAAGTTACCTTACCAGCAAAGTAGAGTCCGAAAAAGACCCTTCAAGATCGTCTTTCCTCAAAATCTCATTAGCAGCCCCAAAAGCGGCTCAGGAGAAAGGCAGAATCTCAATTGCATCTTCAAAACCTTGTTTTCATTAAAATTTATTGTACAATCTCAAAAATACTTAAAAAAAACGTAGAGTCTAAAAAAGACCCTTAAAGATATTTTCTTACGGAAGTAACGGCGCCATTTTGAAAAATCCATAATTAACGAGGTAGACTGCGAAAGTCATTCGAAACAACTTATCTTTCGGAAAATTGTGGCGCCACTCAGGACATTACACTACCAGCAAGGTACACCTCAAAGTAGATCTTCACCCTTCTGTTACATGCACGCGGCTCTTACAGTAGTAATAAAAACTCATACTGACCTGAGAGTGGCACACAACTCTAAAGAATGGTAACAAAATCTGTATCCCTCCGGGAGTGTCGAGCCACCGAAAGAATGAGAAAAATGTAGTAGAAGATTAAGTACCACTTCAAATTCGATATTCCGCGTTCCCCTGGTGCGAAAAGGCATATCCGCATGGCCGCCTGGAACTACTCTACAGCTAGTGTCACTATCGGAAGAAGACTTAAAAGCAAAAAGCCAAATCCTTAAGCCAATTACCACGACACATCCACAGTACCTAAGCTCACCAGCCATCAGGAAGGCATTGTACATCTACTCAGACTTTCTCACAAATTCCCCGCGAACCCCATACATCTTGATTTTTAACCACCAGTATTAGACAATCCCAACGCTAGCAGCATCTGAACGCTATACCCTAACCTAGAAATCCCTATCTGTTATTAAAGCGGAAACAACATGGATCACTAAGGTACAAGGCGAAAAACATGCCCAAATGGCACAACAACGTTTACACCTGAACAATAACACAACCTAATTCTCACCTAATCCATATGACAACAAGCCCAAACGGGCTGCAACTCCTCCAATAGACATTTCAAACGGTCAGCTAAGGGAATAAAACAAAAACACAACAATACTCCCATGAATCATCCCAAACGACACTATGCTTTTTTCAAGATAGTTTCATCGTCTGAACAGGACAACCCTATTTTGATTCTACGGCTGCGCAGACTTAACAAAACGCACACCTCAATCTCCTTCGTTACCATATACACAACCAATCATCATTCCACTACATCCCATCCCCATTCAAACGTACTACAAACTCTTCAAAATTTTCTTTTCCCTCATCCCACTTCTATCTCACACCTGACAAAAACAACTGTAGCGCATACTTCCCCACTAAACGTACGGGAGAACAAGTATCAACAACACTTATCAAGATATATTTTACACGAACTTTCCACACTTTTACATTTTCAATTCATTATTCTTCGTTCTCTAGTTCATAACTACAATGTACCCAAACACATGCTACACTACTATACACATCAGACACGAACTCTCAAAAAGACTAATTAAGACATAACGAAATCGTCCTTTTGAGATTCGAACTTTGTTTTTTTTAAACTTACCTCTAACTCGTTTCTTCCTAGAATGAAAT